ATTAATTGGGGAGCTCAAATATTAGCTTCAACTCCTCGTGGGTGTACATTCTTATTTACTTTGTATTTTTTCAAACTAATTTTATAATAATTTAGTTTATTTCCTTTCCTTATTCATATTTTTCTTTCTTCTTGGGAGGTCACCGTATTAACGGCTACTTTAATCTCTACGACGACGAGGAGCATGCGCAACCCGAAGATGATCACGCATATTCGACTGGCTCTTCGGTAGTGTTCGGCTTAGATTTCACTCCGTTTTCCAGCGGAAACGAGTGTCCCACCAATGGAGACGCCCATCCCTCGAGCTTTGCTCCAGTCATTTCTATCGAAAGAGAAGGATCGTCTACTCTCGGCGGTGATACCTCTGTAAATGGTGGTAGTGGTGGCGGTGTTAGCAGTGGTGGAGTGGGCCATTTTGGCCATCTTATGATAAGTGACTTAACCCCTGCTGGTGCGCTCAGCAGTGGGTTTGCCTCCGGAACATCGTCCACTTCAGAGATGTCAACCTATGGCTCATCAGCGATCGGCCCTGGGTCTGGTGGAGTAGCGAGTTTGTGCGGAGGACTGCCAAGTAGCACAAGCACAAGCAGCTCGGTAAACGGAGACGGATCTCGCGGCGGAGGGTGCACCTCCAGTTTGGCTGGGTGAGTCTTATTGGGAGCCAGTACGCCTGCCGGGGTGTACAGGCCACCGGTTTTGATAACCAATGAATGATTATTCGATTTGAGCTCATTTGATATTTCTTTCTAGTCATCAGTAAATATCATGAGTTTCTGGGGTTAAAAACAAATTATTCCTTTTTTCCAATTCATAAATAGGTTTTTGACACTACCTGTATATCTGATACAAGAGCTGTATTCACCATATTTCGTTTAAGATAATGAATGACTGGTATGTTGTGAAGACTTTCATTTCATATAAAAGTGCATACTGAAGAGATTCGTAAGCCAATCTCACCGGAAGACGCCGGCTGATTAGCGTTGTACTGCAGCCGTTCGGCTTCAATACGACACTTTGGTTGATGTAGTCCACGAGACATCCTTCACCGTTTCCGGCGAAGACGGGCATCTTCAGAGCTGTGACTCATTCTTGCAAAAGCCTCAAGTTAACACTGAGTCAAGAAGATTGACCGACTTTTTCCTATTTTATATATAAATATATGTATATATATAT